TCAGGGTAGAAAAAATATCATAACTGTGAATGTGAATAGAATGAATTCACCTCTAAAATGGGAGAGGATAACAGAATGGATTAGAAAGCAGACTCTAACAGTGTGTTGTTATAAGAAAAAGTCCTGAAACAGAAAGGCTCACACAGTTAAAACAAGGAGTTGAAGCAAAATCTGCTATGCCTCAAATAACTCAAAAAAGCAAGTGTAGTAATTAAAATTTCAGACAAGGCAAAAATAGACCTAATTAAAAGAGATAAACAGAAAAACTACATTTTGCAAAAAATTCAATACTTAACATATATGCACAAATGGCATAGCATCTAAACATCTGAAGAAAAAAGCTAAGTAAATTACAAGGAGAGAAAACAGTAAATTATAATAGTTGGCTGCTTTCAGCCCTAAATAAAATCTAACCAAAAAATAAACAAACAATAAACTAAGGACCTGAATAGAGCTTTAGAAAAGTTAGATAGGATAATTTTCTAGTGATGGCTGATTGGAATGGAAAGGAGTATATACATTTCTCTATTGCACATGCATGGCACTTTTACAAAAACTGGTCCCATATTAAGACATAAAAACCTTACAAACAAATGCAGAAATATTAAATGCATCCCTTACTAACAACAATGAAATAAAATTATACTAAATAAAAGGCCACTGAAAAAGTATTAAAATCAACTGCAGACTAAATAACAATCTTAATGAATTAATGGGTAAAAGAACAAATCATGAAAGCAATAGATAATTTCAATAAAGATAATGACAATGATGAAACAACATATCAAAAATGTTGGGATGCATCCCAAGCAGTCATTAAAGGAAAATTTATATCACTAAGCATTTTCATGAACAAAAAAGAGGAAGAACAGAACAACAAATTGGGCATGCAACTAAAAAAACCTAGAAAAGCAATAATTTTTTTAAAAAATTAAACAATGAAATCAAGGAAAATCAAAGAAGAAATTGACAAAATTAGAAGCAAAAAAAGAACTAATAAATAAAATTAAAAGCTGATTTTTAAAAAAGAAACAGATAAATCATTAGCTAGTTAACTAAAAAGCTGAAAAACAAATTAATAGTATTAAAAATGAAAAAGAATAATTCACAATAAATAAAAAAATAAAGAATATTATTGGAAACTATTTTGCCCAACTATATCAATAAAACTAACCATTTTAAATGAAATAAATGAATAGTCACAAAATATAAAATACCCATATTAACAGAACAAGAAATAGAGAATGAAAACAACCTATTCTCAGAAAAAGAAACTACCAAACCATAAATGAATTCCCAAAGGAACAAACTCCAAGACAAATAGATTCCCAAATGAATTTCATCAAACATTCAGAGAACAACTAATTCCAATCTCATATAAGCTGTTTACAAAAACAGCAAAAGAAGGGATCCTACAAAAGTCCTTCAATAACACAAATATATTCTTAATAATTAAACCAGGGAGAGTCAAGATAGAAAAAGAAAACTATAAACTGATATTCCTAATGAATATTAATATAAAAATTTTAAATAAAATATTAGCCAAGAGGTGATTACAATCTATCACAACGATCACACACTATGTCCAGATTGGATTTATATCAGAAATGCAGTTAGGAAAACTATATATTTAATTAATCATATTGATAGCAAAATTAATAAAAACCACAATCACATCAATAGATGTAAAAGCTTTTAACAAAATACAATACTCACTTTTGTAAAAAAAAAAAAAGAAAACACACACAACTAGAAAACACAAAAATAAATGGATATTTTTGAAGCATGATGAATAATACATATCTAAAAGGAAGAGCCAACATTATATCTAATGTGGATTAACTAGAATCTTTTCCAGTAAGATCAGGAATGAAACTAGGATGGTCATGAAACAACTTTAATTTGACATAGTACTAGAAATGTTGGCTACCTGAGATGATTTAGAAAATTAATTGAAACAATAGCTTTAGCAAATTTACTGAATGTAAATATATATCCCTAAAAATCATCAGCATTTCCGTATAATGCCAATAAATCCCACCAAGAAGACACAGAAAGATGAATTCCATTTTTAAAAGCTACAAAATGTATAAAATACTCAAAGCTTTACCTACCAAGTTATGGTCAAGAACTAAAAGTAGAACTACAAAACACTGTTTACACAAAGACAGACCTAAACAATTAGAGAAATATTGCTTGTGAATAACTGGACCAATATAATAAAAGTGACAATATTACCTAAATTTATTTCTTTAGTGCCATTCTAATCAAACTACCAAAGGATTACTTTAACAACCTAGAAAGAAAAACATCATAAAAATTATATGGAGGCACAAAAGGCTAAGACTGTCCTGGGAAATAACGAAAAAAAAAAAGTGGGAATAAAGGGAGTCTAGCTATACAAGATCTCAAACTATACTATAAACAAGTAATTCCCAAAATAATTTAGTACTGGTTAAAAAACAGCATAATGCAGTTGAGTCTTCCTGACCCTTCCATCTCTCACTGGAGTTCTGTTCTCACTCTCTAACTCATTGCTGCTTCTGGGTCCTGACAGTGGTTTTGCACCCTGGTTTAGATGAGGCTGGTTCTAAGAAGATTGAACCTCAGTCTAATGTAGGTCCATTCTACTAGGCTATGATTTGCTCTGCCATTTCAAAGCCTTGGACCCTTATCTTTACTTAATGTTTTTTTGATGTGGCCACAAGACCTTCTGTAGCCTGCTTTTTTCATTTCAATGCCTGCTCAGTCACTTCAAATTTCCCACCAAACTCAGACTTGTGAGTATACAACAATTCTTGTCCTATTTGCTGATCTAGTAAAGACAGATACCCTTTGGAACCAATTAACATTTCTCACTCTTTTCAGCCTGTTCACTTCTCTGTATTTGAAGGTCAATTATTACTGACCTGTTTGGCTCCCAGCCCCCAGGGGAGTGATCCTAATGGTTCTTTCTTACACCCAAATTCTACAATTCAAAAATATTCTAAAATTTTAAATGTCAGGCAATACCTGGAATGTGTAATTTCACAGTGGAATAAGCGTGGAAGCTAAGGTCTGAATTATTCACTAAAAACTTAAATGAGGGGATTATTTCTTTCACTTAATGCCTGTAGTAGACATTTGCATAAGTATGATACAGCCAGAGTAAAGCATAAACAGATGGACATTCTGAAGACAGAACTGCTATTAGAAACAGCATGATGTAGATAGGAAGCTGGTTTTAAATTTCACCTCTGAGTCATACTGGCTAGGTGATCCTGGGTAAGTCATTACATTTCAGTGTCCCACTCAACTTTCTATGGGCCATAAGTTGCAGAGAAGATGCTTACTTGTATCCATAGAGGGAGGTCCTCACCAGAAGCTCTCTACTCCAGTAAAATAATGGTAGGATTTTTTTAATACTATACTGCTACCTATGGGCTATCCAAAGGCCTCCTCTTACATGTGCTAATGATCCTCCTGTGATCCTCACACAAAAAGGTATGACCAAGAATCTCATCATTAGATCTGGGGTTTAGGGGACATATGTATCAATACATACAATATGTATCAACAGTGTGATTAGAGCAATCAATGTGATCTCAGACCACTTTAAGAAAAGCAGTGTCCAAGCAGATGGAGATGATGGTCTTCCTGGGCTTTTCTTTGGTCAGATCTTAACTAGAGGATATAATTATCATCATTATTATTTGTAATAATAATAGCTAACATTTATATAGCATTTTAAGATTTGCAAAGTGCTTTACAAATATCATCTCATTTTATCCTCACAGCCACCCTGGAAGGTAGATGCTATTATTGTGCCCATTTTATGATAGAGGAAACTGAGGCTAAAAGAAGTTAATTGACATACCCTGGGTCACACAGCTAGTAAGCTTGAGGCCAGATTTGAACTCAGGTCTTCCCACTCCAAGTCCAGTACCCTATCCACTAAGCCACCAAAACGGCCATTTTATTCAGTTCTAGACCATTTCATGAAGATCATTGTGTCAGCCAGAGAGCTTCAACAGAGTACAAATAATATGATGAAGGGCCTTGGAGATCACAGAATATGAGGATCAGTTGAAAAAACTGAAGTTTGGACTAGATAAGAAAAAATTTGGTCAGAGGAAAGGAAAATGATTGTTCTCAATAATTTGACTGGCTATCGCATCAAAAAAGGATTTGATTCATTTTGCTTCACCCTAGAGGGCAGAACTAAGAGATATGAATGAAAGCTATGTGAGATAAACTTAGATTTGTTGTAAGGAAAAGCTTCCTAACTATCAGAACCTTGAAAAATGGAATGGGCTGCCTTGGGCAGCAGTGGGTTACTCTTCTTTAGAGATCAACAAAGATTGGGTGACCACTTCTTGGATAACGTAGTAGAAGGGATTCTCATTCAAGGATAGGTTGGCTTGGCTGGTCACCGAGGCGCCATCCAAATCTGGAGATTCTGTAAAATAGCTTTTCAACTAGAGCAAAGAAAATTAGCCACTTGGCTAGCCAGCTGCTGGGCTATGCCTTAGGCCCCACAAAACAGATAAGAAGACCAGCAAGTAGGGCACAGGAGAATCAGGGTCAATGGAGGAGACTGTGATTCATGAGAGGGAAATTACCTGAGTCCTGAGGCCCCTGGACTACTTCTGGGAGATGATCCACAGAATTGGAAATATGGGTGGGAGCTATACCTTTTCTCCAGGGTATAGAGCCACTGCTGCATTGCTAGGTTACAAAGTAATCCTTAGACTCCCACTTGACAGTAAGTTGCTAATTGCATGACTGATCCAAGTACATTTCAAAAGTTCTAGGCTAGACTTTTTAAAAAATTCTATCAATGACAACTGATTAATGACAACTGATTTATGACACTGATGCTTTTCTTTTGTAAAGGCAAAAGTCAATTTGATATCTATGAAAGCTCCCTCAGAAGAGAGAGAATTATGAAAATTTATTCCCAGTTGAATTCCTTTAGGATCTTAAGTGTTCCATAGTGAAGTAGAGATTAGTCTCCTTACCAGTTTTGAAAGTGGCTCTCTCACTTGGCAGGCTACATCCTGTGAAGTTGACAGCCATCACCCATACTTGATAACACCGGCCAGGTTCCAGATCTTCAAAAAGGCAATAGCTTTCCTTCACTGTAAGTCGGTATTCTTCCACCAAGTCTGGAGCAAACACAAACAGCGACTCTTAGATTACCTTATGTGGTCCATTGAAAGGCGCAGCCATCTGAAAGGTTGCTTGGTGCCTTTTCCCCCCCTAGTATTGGGGTTGATTAGCTTTTACCATATCCCTGTGATTTTTACCATTATATCATACATGAATGAAAAACAATAGCACTTTGGAAAAGAACAAGCAGGATGCTCATATCACATGTGAAATTTGTCAGGAAGAATATTCCATTAGTTAAGCTTTGCATACTACTTTCCACAATTAACTATAATAACTATTTCACTATCAAATGAACTTTAAAATTTCATTTTATTCATGTAAACATGCAAATAATTGACAGATCAGTTATTTCTTCCGTTCCTGCCCCACCCCTACCCACCCCCTCTATATATGGAAGCTCCCTCCTGGGACCTGCAACCTACCTAAGACTAAATAGAGTTATCTAAGACACATACAGGTTAAGTGATTTAGCCAGGGTCACACAACTAGTAAGTGTCAAAGTTGAGAATGAAATCCATTTCTTCCTCACTGCAAGCCCAGACAGCTACTCACTTTGTGGGGCTGCTTCTTTGCCCACTGCTTATATTGACTTAAATGGTAATAGTTTATTTCCCTAAAGATTGCTTTTAAAAAAGAAGGTAACTAACAATTCAGTACAGCATCACAAGAGATAAGGACAAGCCAGATTTTCTAAATTTACACTGTGGAAAGACAAACTTTCTCCTCTCAATTTCAACCAAGCAGACTAGCTAACAAGTTCAAATCTATTGCGATGGTGCTTTAAAGTATCAAACCTGGCTTTCTTTCACCAATTCAGAAATTATTAATTCTTTCAACCAAGGGCATTTGCAATTTATAGAAATGCTTAAGTGATAATGAAATGCTACAAGCTAATCGAAGTGACTTTGTTCTTCAGCTGTGACATTTCCCTTTTCCAAACAGCATAAAATGTCCTACCTTCTGAATATTAGGAGTAAACATTATTTTATACCATTCTGCAAATCTGTCCCTTTGGACCAAACTGATTATTTTTGCTGAAATTTTCTCCCTGCCTGACACAATTGATTCACCTTGTTAAATTAACCTGCATTTATTTCAATTATCCATCCTCATTACTCTTAAATGTCAGTTCTTCACAATTGCTCCAGTTAAGAAATTCAAATTATCCCTTTTAAATGGAACCAAGCATGTCTATAACATATAATATTAGGTACTGGATCCTTTTTCGTGGCTGTAATTAGCAATGGTTATTGGCAAGGTCCACTCAGCCTACAAGTTGTTGGCTGGTGTGTGTTGCTGTTGTGTGAGGGATACCACAAGATCCAGACTGCCAAAATATCTCTCCCACATTGCTCAATCCTGCCCTGTGCCTTAAATTCCCATTGGTGTCATTCATCAGCATTAAGATACTGTTCCCCCAAAACTCTTGTTAAAATATAGCCAAGATGGATAAATAATGAAACCCTTTTTTTCTGACATGGCCAATGCAGGAATTTGTTTTGCTTGACTATACATATTTGTTTGAAAGGTTTAGGGTTTCTTTTCTTTTTCCCCCAATGGGGTACAAGGAGAAAAGAGAAAAACAAATAAAATGTTATTAATTGAAAAAATGATTTAATTTACAATCTATCTATAATCCTTAGGTAAAATCTATTAATTTAAAATCTATCTAGAAGGGTAACATGATTAACATAAGATCACAGATTATAGATTTAGAGTCAGAAGGAACTTTGGAGGCATTGAGTCCAACCCCTTCATTTTATAGATAAAGAAAATGAGGCACAGAGAAATGAAGAGGCATGTCTACAGTCACCCAACTTGTAAATCCCTGAGGTGGGATTTGAAACTAGCTCTTTTGAACTACATATCCTGCATTTTGGGTCAAAACAGAAAACAAAGATTAATTCTCCAAAATTCGCCACCCCCCACCAGGAAGAGAGGAAAGCCCTGAAGGCCTGGGATATAAGGCAGGTAATTTTTGTTGAGGGAAAAAAGTGGGGAAAGAGGTATTCCCCAGATGCTCAGAGGTGAGATAGTATATGGTTGTTTGGTTGTTTTAGTCATGTGATGTGACTTTGGCCCCCTTCTGTCTGGCTATCAAATCCCTGCCTCTTACTCCCCTAAACTCTGCCATTCAGAACCACTGCTGCCTTAGGTAAAGATACTTATTTCTGTGCTACTTCCTTCTGTTTTTTTACTCATATCAAATTCATCTCTACAACTGCCCAGGACTTATCTGCCTCAACTTATCCCTCCCACCGTTTTTTGGCTGTCTTTGCATTGCCTTGCATATTCTGCATGTCGTAGTCACTTATTAAATGCTTGTTTCATTGGATTAAATGGGCCTTTTAGAATTTCCGTTCAATTGGTAACAAATCCTTATGCTCCCAGAATGGTACAATGGGAGAACATTGATTTTGAAGTTGGAAGAATTTAGTTCAATTTATGATTCTTATTGTTTCTACTTGTGTGATCTTATTACCAAGTCAATTAACCTCCTTGATCTTCAGATACCTTATCTGTAAAATGAGGGGATTGGAGTAGATGGCCTCTAGGTCCATTCTAGCTCTAAATCTTCAAACCTATGATCTCCAGCCATTAAATGACACTGAATTTCTCCTGAAAATGCCATAATATTAAGGATTTAGAACTGAAAGGAAACTTAGAGATCAATATCCTCATTTTTCAAATGAAGACTTGAGGCCCAGAGAGGCTAGTTAGCCTGCCCAAGGTCACATGGGTTTTAAATGGTAATCAACCAATAAGCATTTATTAAGTGCCTACCACAAGCTACTAAGTGCCTGCTAAGTACTTCCTTGCTAGGGATACAAATATAAACAATTCCTATTCTCAGGGAGTTTATATTCCAACCAAAGAGACAAGACATACATATATAACTATGTTGTATACAGAATAACTACAAATAAATACAGAGTAGAGAGGGGGGAGAGCGCTAGCTATTGGGAGGTCAGAAAAGGCTTCCTACAGAAGGTGGACCTTCAGCTGATTCTTGAAGGAAAAGAGTTTCAACGGGGCTGTGGAGAAGACGAGCACATTTTAGACATGGAAGACAAGTCAGTGCAAAGAAAGAGACAGAAGATGGAGTACTCTGTGTAAAACACAGAGAGAAGTTCAGTTTGGCTAAGCTGCAAAAAAATGGGAAGTGGGATAATGTCTAATGAAGCTGGAAAGATAGCATGGGAAAACTTTATTGCATTGTTTGAACCTAGCCTGTGTGGCTGAGAAACCAGTCTTATTGCTTATCGGATCAGATTTGTTTAATGCTTAACTCAAGACCTAGGTTATGTGAACATGGCTCTGTAATGATTGTACTAACCAATTAAATATGCTAGAGCTTTCCTTTTTCACAGAGGAACCAGACAGTGTAGTAGCACAACAACTAGTCAATCAGGAGGCCTTCTGAAGCCCAGGGGTGCTTGACATACTAATGACCCTTTGCAAAATAAACTTTAGATGAACTCAGAGATTTCAACAACTGCTGAAGCCAGTCTTGACCAACTCAGAGAAAAAAGCAAACATCTTGCTTTCAGACTTATCTAAAGAGCAGCAATCCTCCTGCTTCCTGACTTATTGTATTTACAGATATCTTCTCCCTAGACCCCAACTTCCCACCTGGCTTCCCAATTTATAGTGTTTCTCCCTTAACCCCCCTTAGCCATAAATACCTCAAATATGTATAAATACCTCACCCTTTCCCCACTCCCCTTTGAGCAGCTAAGAACTTTGTCTTTCTCTGCTCCAGCTTGCAAGCTTCTTCTCAGGCTATAAATGTGGTTATAATCTTTGTAAACCATGATCAGACTCTTGCTCATTCCAGGTCCCCCTTTTGGACCTAAGGTTTCTTCCATTTTAGCAGTTCACAGGGGTATTTATTTGAACAGTGACACTGACCAGAAACCCAGTCAGATCTGAAGATTGATGTAGGGACTGTGAGGAATTTTCTCCAGTTATAAATCTCAAGCAATCCACCTGTCTTATCTGGAAACTGCCTCAGTGCTGGCCAATCAGCTATTGTTTCCTTGTTCCTTTGTTTGAATCCTATGGAATGTATAACTTATACATACCAGGAGAAGTGTGTGTCATTTCCTCTGGGAAGGCTACCTTGATTTACCATCACACTCCCTGATTCCCTGCGATGAAAGTAATCTCTCCCAGGGTAAATTTTCTTAAAGTGCCTTGCCGTGATCTCTTCTTTGTCCTTATAGAAGTCTGTCTTTTATCATACTTAGCTAAGTAAAATGTCTGGTTCTTTCTCAACCCTCCACTAGATTATGAGGCTTTGAGGGTGAGGAGTACAATATTTTTCCATCTTTGTATTCCCAGAGTCTAGTACCATGCCTTACACCTTGTAGACATAAAAATATCTCTTGAATTGAATTACATATAATAAAACACCAAATATGAATAAAGGGAGGATACCAGACCACCTAGGTTCAAGGTCTGCTTCTGCTACTTATTTGCTGTGTGACTACGAGAAGGTCAATGAACAGTGCCCCAGACAATTCCCTGAGACATATCCACAAAATTATACGTGAATTGTAATTTTCATCCTTCACCGATAAAATTAGAGATTCGTTTCCTATCCATTCTGCCATAATGCTTCTTAGTAATGAAGTATGTTACAAATAATAATCCTACCATTTGCTTCACTGTCTTCTTGAGGCTCTTCCATGCAGTAGACCTGGAAAGAGTCAATGACATCCTCTTTCCTCACACTCCAGTACACCGTAATCGTTGTGCTCGTGGCAGAGTTAGGTTCCTGAGGTTCCAGTATGGGGGGCTGTGGTACTGGAATAAAAACAAAATTGGTCATTCCTAGTTTGAGGGCTATCAATCTTCTTTTCATAGTATGACATGTCCAAATGGATTCAATTTCCTGAAACATGAAGGTTTGAGCAGAGCATGCTGGGTAACTGGTGATTCACTAGAGTGAACCAATATGGTTTCAACAATCACCATGGAGACAAATGAGGCAATTTCAGGCCAAAGAGTTGATCCGTTTGCACTGTCTTCCAGGTGTTTGTGGGGAAATGGATTGCACATGGGTGAAAGATTGAAGTATTGCTGTTATATCTGCCATTTCAATTTTCTCTTTCCACAATGGTCATCCATACCTATGGTGACTCAGAAAAAACAGGAACTAAAATCTTGAAGCATAATTCACTTCTCCCCCCACAACTCTCTTTAAAGTATCTGATGCCACCTTAAAATAGTGGAATATCTAGTTTTGATTACTACCATGTTTTTCTTATGTGTCTTATTAGAGAAAAAAGAGCTGGTAATTGTGATTGTGTGTTGAATATGAATAGCATATTCAGCACCACAAAGCAATTTGTTCAATTTACCTGAAAAATTTAAGAGATTTTAAAATTTTTCTATCATTCACTTGACATAAAAATAATGAAGTGAGGGCAACAGGTTTTGTGGACAAAAAGATAATATGTTTTGACATTTGTTTGGTGGTTATTTCTTTCTGCCCTACATTGCCCTGAAGGGAAGCCTACTGAAATTTTTGTAAAAATAGTGAATTCAGTCTCATACAATGGGCCAACATGAATGGATTGCAACCTGGCACTGTTGGAGGGAGTACCCATTTTGATGAGATCATAAATACATCAATAACAGCAACACTGCAAGATGACCAATTTTGATAGACTTAGCTCTTCTCGGCAATGCAATGATCTAAGACTTCTCCAAAGGCCTCATGATGGAAAATGCTATCCACATCCAGAGAAAGAACTATGGAATCTGAATGTAGATTGAAGCATACTATTTTTCCTTTTTTTTTCATTCTTGTGGTTTTTCCCTTTGGTTCTAATTCTTCTTTGCAACATGACTAATGTGGAAATATGTTTAATATGATTGTACATGTATGGCCTATATCAGATTGCGCACCGTCTTGGGGAGAGGAGAGGAGAAGGAGCTGGAGAAAATTTAAAACCCGAAATCTTGTAAAGGTGAATGTTGAAAACTAAAAATAAATAAATAATTTTTAAAAAGATACAATGCCAGCAAATAAATGCAAAAAAAAAATATATCAAGATACTGAATTGTTTAGCTGGTTTGCAAGAGCCAATTGTTAAATTTTCACTGTGTGTACATAAACCTCAGAAATCAGGGCTTGATTTATTGTTTTGTTGATTGTCTATACTTAAATTATTAATAATGCAAATTAAATTTAAAAGTGTATTGCATACATTTCCCCCCAGGGAGCCCAGATGTTAACCATCTACCAGCATGTTCCTGTATTTCTCTAAAATGTAGCTCGAGCTCAGTAGAAGCATTGTTAAGAGGCTCTGGGAACGAAGTCATCACCAGAATAGAGGCCTGATGACTGCAGGCTAACAGCAGCAGTAGCAACAGCAGGTGGCTTTTGTAGTGTGCTTTAAGGTTTGTAAAAGTGCTTGATGTCCATTATTTCACTTGCGCCTCACAAATCCCCTGAGTATGTTCAAGTTTGGAGAAATCCAATTCAATTCAACTCATATTTCTACAAAGTCCTTCTTCCATACCTTATACGAGTGGAGACATGATGGGTGGCTGTGCCAGCTCATAGCACAAACTCCGGTAGGGTCTATTAGCTGTGTGATCCAGAGTTAACTTTAAGTTCTTAACGATTTAATACCTAACTCTCAGCCTCAGTTGCCTCATCTGCTAAATAGGGATAATAATAGCATCCACCTGACTGAGCTGTTTCTAGGACCAAATGAAATAACATATGTAAAGTACTTTGCAAACCTTATAGCTCTATATAAATGTTATTTGGAATAATGGTATAGTCCCCAGCAGAAAAGTAAGGGGGGTGGGGAAGGTAGGGGGAAGGGCAGATTTTGGAGGAAAGATAATTTTATTTTGGACCTATTGAGTTTGGGATGCCTATGGGGCATCCGGGTATCCTTCAATAGCCTTCAATATTTCTTTTCCTCCTTCTGCCCTTTTAATATGTGGATTCATGAAGACCTGAGTTCAAATGTGGCCTCAGACACTTAACTAGCTGTGCGACCTTGAGCAAGCCACTTAGCCTGTTTTCTTCAGTTTTCTCTTCTGTAAAATGAGGATAATACTAACACCTCTCTCCCAGGGTTGTTATGAAGATCAAATGAGATCATATTTGCGAAGTGCTTAACACAGTGTCTAGAACGTAATTAGTGCTCTATAATGGTTAGTTGCTGTTATTATTCATCTGAAAAATGAGGGTGTTGCTAAGAGATCTTTGAGATGACTCCTTCCAGCTCTAGCATCCTTTGACTCTAATTTTCTGACTTGTCCCACATAAGACCTCAGGATTCTGAGTACTATTTAGATGTAAATTTCTATAATGGTTTCTTTTGAAGTGAATCTTTAATAAACTACTGTCTTCTTGACAGTAGATAGGCAGCCTAGAGAACAATCTAGTGTTGACTAAGATTCTCCTGGCTATCCAGTGGATACTTCACTTGGATTGGGCATAGCATATAATCAATCCAGCAGAAAATAATGTATCTGCTTTAGTGGCTAAAATATCCTGATCCATCATTCCCATACTATCCCACCAGACATCTAGGGGCAGGGAATTGATATCATCTTTCCATTTCAATTTAGTGTCCCCTATAAAGCCAGCCTGGATCACTTACTTATACCAGGGGCATCATGCCAGAATGCACCTTCTAGAACTGAAACATTAAATCATTGAAGGGGTTTGAGCCAGGTACGGACAGCGCATCTGGATGAAACTTGGAAGTTTTTCACTTTTATCCTGATTACTTTATTAAAACGGAACCACATTTTACCAGTTACTAAGCTGAGACTTTTCCTACAGGGACAAAATTGGAAGAGGGGTGGGAGGAGGGGAAGAGGAGAAAAAAAAAAAGAAAAATCCAAACAGCTCTCATCTGAGCTGTTTGGGAGAGCTGTCTCATATCATAGGATGAATTATTTTTAACAAGGAGGGCTGAGTGCTGTTTTAGCATGCAGTGAATGGAACTCTGTAGCTTCACTGAAACACAGCAGCTTTGAGAAATCCAAATAACATTCATTGTCTTGTTTGTCAAAATAGCATGTAAAAAATATTTTGAAGAGCCTGCAGGATGTTGCTGACATCTGAGTGGGTGGCTGGCTGGCTACAGAAGATGATGCTGAGTTGTTAGTTCTTTAAACTAATCTGTTGTATTTGGAGAGAGAGAGAGAGAGAGAGAGAGAGAGAGAGAGAGAGAGAGAGAGAGAGAGAGAGAAGAGAGAGAGAGAGAGAGGAGAGAGAGAGAGAGAGGAGAGAGAGAGAGAGAGAGAGAGAGAGAGAGAGAGACAGAGAGAGAGAGAGAGACAGAGAGAGAGGAAAAGACCTGTAAAGAGAATCCGGTAGACAAATTTGAAAATATTTGGTTATTTTTCTCACTCTACCTACCTGCTGACATGAAGCAAATAAGCTCTAGAAGTATAGAGGGGGATGATTTTTAAAAAGGGAAAGACACTGGATGATTTTTATGCCAAATACTTTTTCCTACCCCTTTTATATTAGAGCAAATCAGCACAAGAGGGAAATATAGTTTGTTTGTTTTTTTAACCAAGTCTCCCTATCTTACCCAGACCGGAAATGTAGCAGCCAATCAGGGGCTTGATCCCCCTGTTGATTACTGCAGAATCTTTGACCTGCTGTGTTTCCAACCTGGCCAATTTGTCCCTCCTTAGACAGCCTAGTGAAGCCCTGCTCCCAGGGTCTCACTATATATCAATGTCAAACCTAGTGTAAACCCTGCTGCAGCTTGGAACTCCCAAGCTCAAGGATCCACCAGCCTCATCCTCCCTAGTATCAGGAGTTATGGGTGAGTGCCACCAGGTCTATGCTTGAAATAATAATAACGATAACAACATTTATGTAATATCTACTATTTGCCAAACACTGCACCAAGTGCTTTATAGACACCGTTTCACTTGAATCCACACAACTGCCCTGAAAGGTAGGTGCTATTATTATCCCCATTTTACAGATGATGAAACTAAGGCAAATAGACATTAAATGACTTGCCCAGGGTCACATAACTAGTAAGTATCTGAAGCCAGATTTGAACTTAGGTCTTCCTCACTCTAGGCTTGGTGCTCTCTCCACCATGCTATCTAGCTGCCTCTTGAAATGGCATGGTATTATTTATTGTGATTTCTTTCAGAATCTAACCATTTAATCTCACAACCATGAATTTTGTTCTCTGAGCATAGTTTTACTTTTAATCTCTTCATACATTCCAAAAGCTTTGCAAAACTTTCCCTTTTTAATCTAGGTACCATGTCAATGTTCTTACCTGCCACATGTTTTAACATCTGGTCACTTCTTGTTGAACTGTCGTCATAATGCTCAAAAAGTGAAAATGCCGTAGGAACGTTTTCTAGAGAAGCTGTGCTCTCCATTGCAGAAAGGAGCCTGTCCGGGAGAAGACATTCCTAGGTAAGTGAGGAAATTGTGTTCACAAGGTAACCAAAAAGGTGAAAGGAGAAATGCAGTTTTCTGCCCATAATGTGGGACCTTAAGGAGTCCAGAAAGGTCACAGACTCTTTCTAAATTTGAAAATTTATATTCGAAATCTATTTTAACCAGACTCTACATATTTGGTCTGATAGTTTTGTTGTATTTGCTTTTGAATCAAAATCCTTAAAACAGAAAGGATGCTGTCAAATAATTTGGCTTTGACATTTATACCTTGTAAGTTGTACAATCCATTATCAAAATCCCTCTTATGATTCCTGTGGTTAATTAGACCTATTAGTTTCCTCTCTTCATACGTTGTTTTCTAGAGCTTGACCTTTTCCTCCAATGCAGTGAAGATTCTAATGTCATCTTGTTAGAACCCCAAGAATCTGGGGGCCTCCTTGCTATTTTTATCTTCTGTCATCAGGCCTCTTACATGGGTCCTAGGGCATTTAAACAGGAAAATGTCTAAAAGAGATTCCTCTGCAGGCTCAATTACACATCCAGGGCCTTGGGAGGAGGTGGAGGTTCAGAGGAGATGTCCCATAGAGGTCAAAGTGTGACCAGTCATCTGGAGGGGATGAATGTAGGATGGGGAAGGGGAATGCTGTTGCCTGGCAACCAGTCACAGTTTTGCCTAAATAGTCTGCATATAAATACTTCATGTCTTTCTGAACACAGTCATACTTTGCCACCTTCACCATTAAATGTTGTTGTTGTTGTTTTTGTTGTTGTTATTGTTGAGTGGTTTCAGTTGTGTCCAACTCTTTGTGACTCCATTTGTAGGTTCTCTTGGCAAAGAGGCTAGAGTGGTTTGCCATTTCTTTCTCCAGCTCATTTTACAGACTGAGGCAAATAGCATTAAGTGACTTGCCCAGGGTCACACAGCTACTAATTTGAACTCAGGAAGATTAGTTTTCCTGTTTCCAAGTACATTGCTTTGTACACTTTGCCTCCTAGCTGCCCTTACCATTAAATACACCAATTAAATAAAGCTTCAACATTAATAACACTAGGAAACTGAATCATTAAATTCTAAATCTAACATCCTCTAACACCAAAAATTTATGGTTCTCCCTTCCTGTGAAGCTCTAGCTGCCTGTTCTCCCCAACCAAGAAGGAACTCCCCAATCATGGGCCCAGGGTGGTTGACACAATTCCTTATGGTGTAGGGTTCTCTCAGATTACTCTTTGGTATTATATTGCTAGGCAGCTAGGTGGCACAGTGGATAGAGTACTGGGCCTGGCCCTATCTTCCTGAGTTCAAATCTGGCCTCAGACACTAACTAGCTGTGGGACCTTGGGCAAGTCACTTAACCCAGGGATTTGCCTCAGTTTCTTCATCAGTAAAATGAGCTGGAAAAGGAAATGGCAAACTACTCTAGTATCTTTGCCAAGAGAACCCTAAATGGAGTCACAAAGCATCAGACGCAACCGAAACGATTGAACAAATAATATCGACTGTAATTGATGAAAGATGGCCATTGTTCTATCTTCCAAGGACTGTGCCAAAAAACCAGCTAAACCAAGGTCCAATTGACAATGAAGGTTTGAATGGGAATGGGAATCTCTCTCTCAGAACTAATATCTTCTTCAGAGAATGGAAATCAAATTATTCAATATGTATCAAATGCCTAGTGTGCTCAAGGTGCTCTGCTTGGAGCCATGAAATATATTTTCAACGTGTTTAGTGGGAAAGGTTCTAGAGAACCTGATTCTAAGGGAAGGTAAGAAGATGGACTTGAAGTCAGAGGACCAAGGTTCAAATCCTACTCCTGTCACTTATTACTTCTTGCAAGTCAATGAGTCTTCTTCCTCATCTGTAAAACAAGAGGGCTGGATGAAACGACCTCTAAGCCTCCCTCCTCACAGTTCCAAATCTATGCTGTAATAGAATCCTTGTAATATTTTCTTATCATGACCTTCAAGCACTGAGTACAACACCCTGCGTACAATGAGCAAGACCAACAACTACTGCTGTATCAATGGCAAACTTTTCACGTGCCTAAACATGAAAACTAAAGCTATAGTCAATGTTTGCATTTTCCACTTTACCCTGATGCTATTACCCCCTCAAAACTGTCAGACATAGAAGTGTAAGGGCTCATATTTATAAGTAGAACATAGAATGATTTGGACGACCATTTTTTACATGACTTCAATTCACAAGAACAAAATTAGAAATAGATTCATGCCCTGAACAGAGCAGCATTTTCTAAGCAAATGTGTTTTTCAAGATATGCAAATTTTGAGGCTGAATAACTTGACAGCAGCCTTGTAGCTTAAGAATTTTTTTTAATGTAGGAAAAATCATTTAACATACAAGAAATGAACTGCCTTCAGAGGCAGCTGAGAGAGAGAGAAGAGAAGAGAAGAGAAGAGAAGAGAAGAGAAGAGAAGAGAAGAGAAGAGAAGAGAAGAGAAGAGAAGAGAAGAGAAGAGAAGAGAAGGGAACAGCCCAACAAGGTAAAAAGCACTGGAGGTAATTAGCACTTATTATTAAAGAGAATGGCATTAACTTAGAGCCACAGGAAGTTCTGAGGACATGAAAGGTTTCTTTTTTGCAAAGCAATCAAGTTTCATCATTTTCTTGACAATGTTGGGGTTTTTTTAAGGGCTCTATTTAATTGTTCACATCTCTTTACCAAATTTCAGAACTTTTCTGTTTTCAGAGAAGTAGGCCCTCCCGGGTCTGTTCTTTCATTCACAGACATGCATATTTCCTGAGTCCAATTCAATTGTCAGTGGAACAAGCAAATTAAAACCACTAAAATGGCACACAGGTTAAGCCAAGTTTAAGCAGAAACTCAAATCAGCTAATTGCACTTGGTAGTATGTGAAGCATGGTTCGAAAATTAGTGTGCTGATTTTTAGAAGCACAAAAACTGTCAAATTTTTAGTGTTAAAAAAGTTTATCTAATTAAACATACATACACACAACTCAAATAAAGATCTTGATGTTTTATCAATGCCATTTGCATTAAATGAGCAAATAATTCCATGTAAGTAAGCAAATCCTTATCCATGTATAAATTGATTTGGTCCTCAGAGAACTGAAAATGAATATCAGCGAAGGAAATGGGGAAGTATGGGATGGGTCTGAGGAAACCCCGATATATAACTACTATGAGGAACTTCAATGATGGACAGGAAGAAATGATGTCATCAGGGAACTGTATGATACAAAAAGAAGGTGGACTGGTCATGTGGAGAGAGCAGGGGATTATGGTTAGCCTGAGTGCTCGCTCCACTGATATCCTTACTATGTCCACTGAAAACAAAATTAAATAGTTCAGTTTAAAACTGATGAAACATCTCCTAATTCTTCCAAGAAAATATCACACTATGGGGCAGCTAGGTGGCGCAGTGGATACAGCACCGGCCCTGGATTCTGGAGGACCTGAGTTCAAATGCGGCCTCAGACACATAACACTTACTAGCTGTGTGACCCTGGGCAAGTCACTTAACCCCATTGCCTAGCCAAAAAAAAAGAAAGAAAGAAAATATCACACCATGATATTTCATTTCTTTATGATTAAATTAGAACTCTAACTTGTACTTATTTTTTCCATATAATAACACATCACAGATAATTTTCTTGTTTTTTCCTTTACATTAAATCACAATTTGATCTGCATGCCATCTCAAGTAATAAATTATTTCAACAGAAAAAAAAAGAAAAAATATGGTTCAGTGAGTAGAAAATATTTCAGATCTTAGAGAGTTGCCTGAAATCTTTTTTTTGTTGTTCTCCAGTCATTTCAGTCATGTCCAACTTTTTGTGATCCCATTTGGGGTTTTCTTGCAGAGACACAGGAGTGGTTTGACACATCCTTCTTCAGCTCATTTTACAGATGTAAAAAAAAATCATTTCCTAGCTATGTGACCCTGGGCAAGTCACTTAACCCTATTTGCCTCAGTTTCCTCATCTATAAAATGAACTGGAGAAAGAAATGAGAAACCACTGCAGTATCTTTGCCAAGAAAACCCCAGATGGGGCCATAAGAGTTGGACATGACTGAACAAAAACAAAAATAATTCTAAGCACCTTCAAAATTATTTTTGTGCACTAACAAAAAGCAGCATCAGTTCAGAACAGATTTGTATATAAAGGGCACTCCAAAGCAAACAGTTGAAAATGCTATATTATGATTGCTGTTATCCAAACGCACACAATGCATCCTCAAAGCTGTCAATGGGCTTCCAAAAGTTCAGCCACTAAGGGAGACTATCTGGTAGCTTGTTAAATCAATGGCCTTTATTCTGCCAGCACATTTTCTATGAAGCTTTCAAGGATTAATAGAGCATCCAACCATGCTATGTTCCATAGCCACTAAGATGTGCCAACGCCATGTTTCATATACCTGTCATTGATTTCTTTAAATGACTGGTGGAGGAAAAGAGAAGCCAGTTAATACCACAAAGCAGGTAACAGTAACCTCAAGATTGTGCATCCTTTTAAACAACCCTCCCATGATTCCACAAAAGCTGTTTCTCTCTTGATAGATTCACCTAAGGCAACAAAAGAAACCATGTGGATTGTGGACAGGAGCCTTAGACATCATTCAGGCTCTGTTGTTGTTTCAAAGTGAGTCCTGGAAATTTGCTTTGTTTCAGCTTACCCATTAAGGAAATGGGATAGATAGAGGCTTATATATACAATGGGCTTTTCAGTTACTGAAGCAATAGGAATGATTAAAATTTGCTCTGCTTAGAGTTATTGCTGAGAAGGAAATACTCTCATTGAAGGAAGCAGATTAGATTATTTCAGACAAGGAAGTACTTTGTACTTTGTAAATGTTATATATGGCTTCACAAGAAGAATGAGAACCATGCTTTTCCCCCAACCCTCCCTCTTACCTCAAGATTAAGGTTAAAGCAGTTGCTAGATTTTAGTTCTTCTTTTAGGTTGTAGATGTCTATCTAATTTACATCATGGCTACCATCTGCATTTATTGGCTGTACCCCCAGAGGCAAATAAAGAGAGATCAACATTCCTCCCTTCTGCCTTTATCCACAGTTATGCGTTACTGGACATTACAGGAAGCATGGAGGACTTTAGGAAGTAATGCCACCTCCAACAAAAGGTGGCACTTCCCTACCCCCTGCCCAAAAGCAAAGTGTGCGTTCATAGCAGTCCTAGAACATTTTAGTGACCCCCACTACAGGAAATCATCTCCACTGATTACTTGCTCTTGACTCCAGGGTCAATCCAGCAGCTGATTTTATGGAATGCCTTAGGGATGGGAAACTTAAGGATGGGTCTGAGTGGCCCCCAAATCACTCCTTACCACAAAGTCAACCTTAACTTTTTGGACTAAGATATGAAGTGGTCTGTTCAAATGAAAACATATCATGCCATTGTCACCTATTAACATCTTCGGATGAGTCAGCCTATCAGCTTGGGTTTGGTCACCTCATGACCCCTGAAGGAAGGGGGAGCAAAGGAGAAAACAGTTTGGATTGAAGGGAGGGCACAGTCAAGTGAGAGAGGGTCACTTGAGACCGGAGACCAAATGAAGAAAGGGATACTATAGACAAGGAAGATCTAGGCCTGATTTTAGACCTGGAGGCTGAACTCTCTTTCCTTTTTAGGTTGAAAGGAATATATAGGTCTCCCAGTATGATAAATGTTAGGGGAGTCTAGAATTGTTGGAAGTTGCTAGAATTAAATCAATGCACAAGTTAAAATGAAAAAGATGATGAATCCTCTTCTGAGTAACTGCAGGGGGTATGTATGGAAAGGAAAGTGAGATTTATTTTTATTAGCAGGAGGGCCAAGGTCCTCATGAGCAGTGAAGTGATTGGCACTGCTATAATCTGTGCTTACGGTCAGGAAAACAGTCTCGTCGAGTTCTTCTGCCTCCTTGACAATTGTCTCCAGAGTCTCCTTGGCAGTGTCCATACTCTGTAGGAAGTTCACCATCTGCTCATGTAGGTATTCCATTTTTCTCTTCTTCACCTCCTCAAAGCTCTGTGCCTTCTCATCATACTGGGCCAGCACCTTTTTCATCATTTCTTCATTCTGCTCTTCAAGCCGTTTCTCATTTTTGCTACAGTTTTCCTGGAAAACACATACTTTTAAAACCAGTGTGAATCCAAAAAAATACAATTATATTGTTGAGATGTGATTCTTTTTGGAGGCATCTGGATTAAATTACTTGCCTGGGGTCACACAGCTAATAAGTGTCCAAGGCGGGATTTGAACTTCAGGGCTGGTGCTCTATCACTGTGCCACCTAGCTAACCCAGATGTGATTCCTCTTAAAAGCATAGCTCTCTCAAGTAAACTTGAAGGATGCCACGTTCTAATTTTCTAGCATGAGAATTTCATTTTTCTAAACACATAAAGGAGAGCATATGTACAGTATGCGATTGGGAGGGGGTGAAAGACTTCTAACTATTGGAATCTTATTAAACTACCAAAAAGCACAACTTTAGAGGGGCAGCAAGGTGTAGTGGGTTGGTTCAAGTTCTATCTCTGACACATGCTGACTGTGACCCTGGACAGGATGCTTAACCGCTCAATGTCTCAAACAACTCTCAAGTTGCTTAGCAGGCACTGATTTGCATTGCTAAAAGATGTTTTCCCATTGGGAGAGCTCTATTCCAGTGAAATCGCAGGTCTAATTAAAAAAAAAATAAAGAGCAAAACAACCTAAGGGGGATCTATGTTGGACTATGTGTGAGTCAGTCACTGAAATCCCAAAAAGACATTTGTAATTACCCAAAAGACACAGGCTGTAGCCTCTTAGAGAAAGGTTCCATGACTAGTCTTTATCATATTCAAGAATTAGATTCAAGGCCCTTTGCTGATCGGCCAAGCCCTCATATCTATGTTGAAAAATTAAATAGTTTGCTACACTCAAGTATTCATCTTAGTGGGAACGTGACTCTACATCATCTGGCAGGTGGAATGATGTTGTCCTTTCTGATACACACAGACTAATGAATAGTGCTGGTCATTAGTAAAAAAACCTTTTCTAATGGCCCTAGGTCTCTGCCATTTTGCCATTTCCTTCATGGGTCCCTCACTCATTGATTCATTTATTGATTCAACAAGCATTCATTAAGCTACCTATTGTATGTAAGTGAATATGCTAAGTGCTGAAAATAAAAAAAAAAAAAACCACAACCCACAAGTTCGTGCCTTGGGAGCTTCCACACTAAGTTGACAACGATCCCCTCTGGGACACAATAAGTAAACAGGAAGGAACTAGCAGCTAGAAGCACAAAACTGTTTGCCACCACCACCTATGCCCTTGCCATAGGTGAGATTTAGTCATGCTTCTCTCCATCTCTCCCTCCTCCCTTCTGTCTGCTGGCTTCCCGGCTTCCTTCAGATCTCAGCTAAAATCCCACCTTCTGCAAGAGTATTTGTGCCTTCTCTCTGAGATGATCTCCAGTTTATCATATATATGACAATATATGATATTAATCCCATGTAATATGATATATATGAGAATATAAATAAGATTTCATATGTATATACATATATATATATATGTAATCTTGCTTATATTATTTGTTTGCATGTGGTCTCCCCCATTAGATTGTGAGCTCCTTGAGGGAAGGGATTATTTTTTTACCTTTCTTTGTATCCCTATTGCTTAGCAGAGGGCCTGGCATATACTAGGTGCTTAATAAATGCCTGTTGATTTATTGACATCAATGAAACAAGGGTGAAATTTACTCCTGTGAATGGACTTGCTCACCTAAAGATTCTCCCATCCTGACTATAGAAACTGTCATGTGAGAAGGAAGTATTATTTTGAAAACTTTAGTCCTACTGTCCTTACTTAGAATGGTCTTGCTGATTTCACAGAGAGAAGACTTTAGAGACACTTCATTTCTAATGCCAAAAATTAACTATGGCCAAAACACACACACACACACACACACACACACACACACACACACACACACACACACACACACACACTAGTTTAGTTCCTTTGGGAATGTCTTTACTACTTGAATAAACTAGATCCTTTACAAGAAATATATTGGTAGGGAACTTAAATGTGGCAACTCACCTCGATAGTATTGAAGAATGATTCTATCTCAGTAACAAATGCTTCAATCTTCAGAGACTTTTCTTTTAAATTTTCTAGAAATTCTCCTAATTGAATCTGAATTTTAAAAAAAGGATAAGGATATTACATAATATTTGAGGAAACAGCCTTGGCAATATTTTGTACTTACCAATATCTAGCTTTATACATTTATTCCACAAAGACATTGATATTTTTTTAGAGCTATTTTTCTATTCTATGGGAAGGGAAGGGACTTGTAAACTGTTGGACATGACCTCAAGAGATTTGATCTTGTTTTAACACTAGAAAGACCAGGCTTATCAATTGAAATAAATTTTTTTTATTATAGTTTACTTTGAAATGAAATTTTTTAGCCTATCTCTATTTTCTTTGCCTATGGGTAAAAAGGAAAATACACTGCATAAATTGATGCAACTTGGTTCTTTGGGGGTGTTCTTAAATTCCAGTCCTTCTGTGGTTTTCAGTTCCTTCTCCTTCAAGGACTAGAGAAGAAACCAAATTCAATTCTCTGCCATCTTGAGTGAGGGACAAGAAGCATGCAATTAAAACATTTTAACCAATAGTTCCCACTATAATTACAACTTTTTCACCTTTTATTGGCACTGATGAGTAGCAAAATGGAATTGAAGAGTTTTAGCCCATTTTCATTTTATTCGTTCATCACAGTCTGATTAAAATCTAATGATCACTGAAATCACCTAAAGGCAGACCTTGAATAATTAAGAGTTCCTATATAGAGACCATAGAGAATTATAAAGCTATAAATATCTAAACAATTTTAAAAATAATCTGATTCTTATTATTTAAAATTTACTGGTCAATTCTTAATCTTCAAAGATTGCTTGGTGAAAATTAAATGGACTTTCTTGCCTTTGGTTGAGTTTTTTTCTCCCTTTCACTTTTCTATTCTCATACTTGTTACAACAGGACCAGAAAAAATTAAATAGTCAAAAAGAAGTTAGCCATGAGGCATAACTACAGTGGGGCCATCTGTGCTTTTTCTCAAGGTCATAATTTTAGATGGAATTTAAAGCACTGGAAAGTTTAAAGCAAGTAAAAACAGAAATTAGCATTTAGTTAGTGAAAAGAGCTAGTTACAATAGAAAGCTACTAAGTAGCCCACTTTCTCTACTCTCTCACGCCCTTGGGGTTCACACCTGAGCCTATCCCATCCTGTTCCCACCTACTCCTTCCCCTCCTCTGGTAGTGCCCTCGCTAGCAATATCCTGGTCTTTCTGCCCACAGGGGCTGCTGGTATCTCAGCTCAAAGAGTTTATGACAAAAGTGAACGCTGTGTAATTATAATAACCAAGTTTAAACTTGAAGAAGAAACAAGAAAATGCACCTTCCTCCCTTCTTTGCAGAGGTGGAGGACTATGGATTTGGAACATCATATACACAGTCTTGCTCACCGTGTTGGTTAATTTTGCTGAATTGCTTTTTCATTTTTTATTAGAAAGGATAGTTCTCAGGGTAGGGGAAGGAGGAGGAATACATTCAGAAATTAAGACAATGAAAATACATAAGATATCTCCCAAATATTTTAAGTATATATGAAAGCACATTTCATGCTATTTGCCCTAGATGAGATTTATTTTGCTCCAGGCACAAAAATCACTAGCTCTAAGCTCACCTCCCCTTCCGTTCCACACACATTTTTTTTTTGGCAATTAAAGTTTTAAGTGTCATTTATTTAGGATAAGTTTTAGTGACTGAGACAACATAATTTTAAACTCCCAACTTCATGGTAGTAGCTATGAAATCCAGATGCTCCCCACTCCCTTTGCTGAAGCCACAGCAGTCATTAATTAAAAAAAAAACAAGTGTCAGCCTGGAGGAGGAGTGAGCATATTGTCTTGGGCTCTGATGTTAATGCATTGAGATTGAGGTCTAAAAATGTGCCAGGTAAGCTACTGCAGCTCAACTCAAATTACAGAGACATAGACCCAATGCTGGGCAAGTTGATAAGGGCAAATTTGGTAGGGAACATGCATATTCAAGCTTCCAATATGTTAAAATGCTGAATTAAAATGAGCCTGAGAATTATTTAGCAGTGCCCTTTAAAGTGTATTTTATTTGAATTTGAAATCATTTTACTCCCCCCCACCTCACCCCCATGCAAGTACTAATCTTCATGCATACCATTGCATGAAGGTTAAGCAGAAAACCTAGGAAAATGTTCTCCTTGGTTTTCAGGCCCTTTCCAACTCAAATAATTTATTTAAAAGATTGAGGGATCAAAGATAAAGGTCACTTCTGAAATCAACCAGGAGAAGTATGTATTTAGAAGAAGAATATTCTAGCCATTAGAATTTTAAGACCATATTTACCTTGACCACATCAATAGCTGTGTCAAGTGCGGCAACTTCATGGTCTTTGTGCGCGCCAAAAATCTTGTCAATCGCAGAAATAGGGCATTTGCATGTGTAGCAATATGTGTCGATCTGGGATTTTTTTGTTTCTTTCTGTGCATCTTTCACTTCTGCCAATAATCGCTCTGGCTCCACAATCTCAGATCCAGAATCCTTCTGTAGAACAGACTTAATTTGTTCTGCTTGCTTCGCAAATTCATCATTTTCACCAATAAGCTCAAAAGATTTCTTGCCTTGAGATAGGACATCTTCAGGCGTGGATTCAGAGAACAAGTCGTCTGATAAGAGATCCTCTTGAGTAACCACTTCATAATTCATTAATTCTGCAAACTCATATTCATCCTGAACAGGGCTGCTGCAGGGCCTTGCCTCTGTCATTTCAGCAGGTACAGATAGTTGAGGTTCTACTTGCAGGCTTTCTGGAGCAGGTGTTGCACCTGACATGAGTTCTTCTTCTGGGTAAGACACTTCCACTGGGAAATGCTGACTTGCCTCAGGACTAGCATTTTCTTCCTCATTACCCTGGCCATCAGGTTCATCTACTCTCTCTAAAATATGATGTTTGTCTTGGAAGGGCACTGCATAACTTATTTTCTGAGAAGCCAATTGGACTTCCTCAGTGATGGGCACTTTCCCCTGTAGCTCTCCATCCTTACAGGTTTCCACACTGCTTCTTAATTCCCCTTCACTGAACATAGCTTTCTGTTCCTCCTCCATGCTCCTCTCCCCCAAAATAGTTCCGAACCTCCCCCAGACTTCTCCTTCTCCAGCTATCAGTTGGCATGAGTCATCTTTACCAACTGGTTTTTCTTCCAGAGGTTGGCTTTGGTCTTTCTGATATCCAGATGCATCATGTAGAATGTCATCTTTGAGAATGTACTTCTCAAAATATATTCCAGTCCCCTCCTCAGCATCAGAATGTCTGCTGGGAAATGAAGCATCAGAATTTAGGCTCTCCCTATCAGAGGTGGTCTCACCTTCCTGTTTTTTGTCCCCAACTGCTTCTTCATATAGATCTTTATATAAGAATGCTAGTGCTGGTGGTTCCTCTAGCAACTCTGGGTTAATAGCTTTAACTTCCGTAGGAAATAGTTGAGTTCGGGACAGCACCCCTTCTTCTGCATTGAATAAGGGCATTCCAGGAGACTTTGATTCCACATCTCTGGCTACATCCCTTGGAGTCTCACTGTCTGTAGATCTGAGGGTAGGTAAAGATGGATGAGATTCTGTATAAGAAACTTTGCTATCATCCTTTTCCATTCCATAAAAGCTTTCATCTAATTTCACCAAGTCAAACTCATATTCCAGAGTCTTATCTGCTGAACTTTCTGGGAAAGAGATGGTTTCTTCAGGAACTTTCTTTTGGGGTTCTCTTTCAATGTCTTGCTTTTCAAAAGATTCCTTTTTCAGTGGCTCTGGAGTGATGTTATAGTCAATTAAAGTATATTTTTCAAAATAATCCACATCACTGGGCATTGTATGATAACTGAAGGCCACATCTGAGTCAGTGGAAGTGTCCTCTTCTGCTAGGTGAGTTTTCTCTTGCATCTGTCCCTTCTCCAGGGACACATCTGCATCCAAGTGATCTGCATGGGACTCATTTCTCATTTCAGTTTCCTGGGCTATAGTCACCTTACTGCCATCATGAAAGGGTCGAATGCTCTGTGAAGTCTTCTCTTCCAAGTATTCTAACTTATCCTGCATTTTTTCACACTCTTCCTCATCGACTGATGAAATAAAAGCAGGAGCATGAATGTTCAATATTTCACAACCTTCAGAAATGATGCTAAATGCATTTTTTTGATCTTCTGTGAGGCCAGGGGGCTTGCTGGTCACCACAGGAGCTGCAAATGCTCCGTCTTTTACGAAGAGGTTTTCAGGTTCCTTCGCTATGCCTTCAGTGGAAGAAATTGCTTCATCATTAGTTGATGGTATATCGCATGTAACATGATCAGAATCACGAATTGCTGATGGATATGGTCTATCCACCTGAAGATCACCCATAGGCTTTGTCTGGGAATCAGAAACTTGCTTTGAGACAAAAGTGGGTGGCATAGGTGAATCTGGTGTACCATCTTTGGTTTGGTGAGCCTGACTTGCTACTGTTAGTTCTGGTGGTGAAATTTCTGATATCTCTGATACATTAACTGCTGGAGAAGATACTGAAATCACAGCTGGTGATTTCACAGGTGAGAAAATTGCTTCTTGAAAAGAAGATAATTGATCTAAGTTCTCTGTTTCATCAAAGGGACGATCTAGAGTAATTTTAGATTCTCTGGACACCAGTTTACCAAAGATTCCTAATTTGGGTTGTGGCTCTTGCTTCTTGCTTTCCTTGGTGATACCAGGTAAAGCCTCTTTTGAAGGCTTAGCCATGGCATGTGATATATCAGAGGAAAGGAAGTATTGTTCCTTTTCCTCGTTGTGACTTGATATTTTAGACATCAGACTTCCTATATCAGGTAAAGCACAAATGTCCTCCTGGTCTACTTCCACTCTGTGACCAGGACTACTTGGAATGAATGTCCTAGTCTTTTCTTCCAATGAATCCGTTTCACTTAAAGAAGTTGGCTGGATTCCTACTGTTTTTGTTTCCTTGGTTTCTGGGTGAGCCACTGAGAGCACCATTTGTGATTCTCCAGTAACTGATTTTGCTTTAGCCAAAGAATATGCTTGATTTTTCAGATTCTCACTTTCATCATGAGAAATACCAAAGGGGATTGTTGATTCTTCAGAGGCAAAATTGGTTCCTCCTGCTGAGTAAGTTGGAGTCATTTGATTATTTTCACCTGGAGATAAATTTGGAAGGCTAACTTTTTGTTCACCTTCCTTCTCAAGACTGACAGTGACAGCATCAGATCTTCCCAAAATTAACTTTTCTTTCTCTGTCAAAGGAGATTGACAACTTTCTTCTTTGTTCCTTTCTGTGGGGCCTGCTGAAACAATCTGTGATTCCTTGAAAAAATCTGCTTTAGCAAATGATAGTGGTTGACTTTCATCCACAGAGCTTCCAAGAGTCATACCTAATTCCTCAGACACTTCTCTGGATTCCAGAATTGGATGAGGTTTTGAATCTTCCCTCATGCCTCTCTCTGCAGAAGTGAGCTGGTTTTCACTGGGAATTGAAGCAGTAGACTTGGGTACCTCTGACACTATACTGACTTCAGTAGGTATCTTGGCCACCATTCCTCTGTCTTCCTTATTTTCACAGAACTGAACTACAGCCTCTTTTGAGTATTCTGCTTTATGTAGTTCTGATTCCCGTAAGAGGCCTGCCATCCTTATTTCCTTTGTCTCTCTCAGAATCAATGGGACTGCCATTTCTGACTTTTCTGCCAGCACAGCTTTTTCCGTGATGCGATACGGTTTTTGTTCTAAGACTTTTTCTTCATCAGTTGAACTTATAGTTTTTAGATTAGGCTCATCATCATAAAATGTTGAAGACACAGCCTTTGGCATTTCTTTCTCTGGTCTATCATCACCAACTTTAATTAAACTATCTTTTGATTCTTCCATTGTCAAAGTTCTTGACTCTAGCTTTGCTGATTCTTTCATGGTCCTTTCACTTGCAAATTCTGATGGAGTTGACTTTGCCGACCAAATAACTTGATCCACTTCCACTGCAGAAAACAGTGTTTTTTCTTGGTCATGCTGTTCATTAAGATAGGTTAAAACATTCTTTGATTCTTCTGTCAACTGGCTGGTCTCAGAGTGAGTGTAGATTTCTGCCTTTTGTACCCTGTTCTCACCAGTGATGTGAACAGGAGCACCATTTTCAGCTTCTTCTAAAACCAATTGTTTTCCCAAAACAGGAGGTTGGTTTTCAAGATATGTCCTGTTCTGAGCAGAAGTAACTTTGATGCTTGCTAGTTCTGATGGCATCTCAACCTCTATGCCTGATAAAGGTTGCATTTCTTCCTTCCTATTTTCTGGTATCTTATGTTCTTCAATAACACTCCCAGAAATGGGTTTGGACAGGTCTGGTGGAGTTTCCTCCACGGCTAATAAAAACATAGGTTCTTCTTTGGACTGTCTTGGTTTTCCAGATTCTGTTAAGGCAGTTCTAGATTCTGCCTCAGATAACAGTCCTGACTCTGGTAAATGATGAGTTGGTAGTGGCTCTGATTTTTGTGATGCCTTTTCACCTCTTAACAAAGTCAATTTGGATGGCTCCTTATCTACTTGGTTAGGTAAAGTTAGTGGTATTTCTTTCTGCTCCCTTTCTTCACTGGCTTTAATTACAATGACTTTAGGTTCTTTCTCAGGCGAGAGTCCTGACACTGATAAAGGAGATAGTGCTGGTTTCTCAGCCTCATTAAAGTCTTCAGTGGCAGCTGAAAGTGTCATTTTAACCTCCTCTTCCAACACAGCTGTGTCTGCAGCAGGGCTTGGCTGAGCTTCTTTTTCATCAACATCATTTTCCGGAGCGCTCGCTCCAAAAAACAGTCTGGCCATCCACGATGTGAAAGATGAAATTCCTTTTTTGGCTTTACCATTGGTGACAGTACTTGGGGCAGCAATTTCAGCCTGCTCAGGCACTTTGTTAATTATTTTTGGGGAATCCAGTGGTGCAGTTATTTCCCCAGATTGAATCAGGGAAAGTTTTGATTTTTCGTGCATTGAGATTGTGGCCTCAGGCAGAGGTTTCTCTGATTCTGACTGCTGGGCTTCATCAGCATTTTCCACAACCTTTGAAGCATCTGCTTTTGATTCCTTCAACAGCCTTTTCTCTGTGGAAGAATATGATGTAATTCCCAGCTCTTCTTTTTCACTACCTAAGGCTGTTACTGAATCTTCTGCCAGACGACTAGTTGCTTTGACTGAAGAAGGAATAATTTCAGGCTTTACCTGCTTCATTATAGGGTCTCCAGAGACTTGAGTTCGGATCTTAGTGGTACTTTCGGAGGCTGGTGTGAATTTTTCCTGGCCATCCTCTTCAGTGCCTAACTTTTCTGGTATCACACTTTCAGAATCCACTGATAAAGAGAGCTGCTTCCCCTTAGCTTCAGGTCGAGCTATGTTTTCGACTAGAACTGTACCTCTTGGCTCTTCAGCCACTTGTATTTCAGGAGAAGAGTAAGTTTGAGTTGTTAGTTTCTCTCCATGATCATCGGACCTGCCCAGAGGAGACGATGGTCCCTCTGCTGATAAAGCAGGTTCTTTGGCTGGGTAAAAGCTTTCTGGTTTTGTATGTTCATAAGTTTGTTTCTTCTCAGGTGGAGCAGATGTTAAGTGTCCTGACAGTCTTCCATCTGTGGCAGAAGAACACGGCTGCCCTGACTCCAGCACTCTTTCCTTGTCAGGGCTAGCCTGCTCTTGGCTTGGTTCTTTCAGCAGCCAGCTTCCTTCTTTTTGCAAAGGGAGGGAGTCTTTTGCATCCATAACATCTCCAGGCTCAATTGTCACAATAGATTTTGACTCTTCCAAAGGCAAATTTGCTTCTGCAAATGAATGTGACTTAGTAGAAATATCCTGTTGATCAGCCAAGGGACTGTTCAGTGAAGGTATTGATAATTCAAGTAAATTACCAACATCATCTGGGCAAAGTATAGTTTCTTGCTTTGCTTGTTCCTCAGAGAGATCAGAAGAGGCCATCTTGGATGGCTCAGGTACATTTTCTGACATATGGAATGAATGTGTTTGGGTGGTGTCTTCATTTGCTTTGGTCAAAATATCCCCTGCCCCTTGTGGGGCCAAATTTTCTATGGAGGTCAATGGATGACCTTTTTGTTTCTCTCCTTTGTTAGAGTCTGCCAAGTCTCTTGACTCTTGCAATAATTCTTTGAATGAAAAATGATCTTGCTGTGGTTCTGGATTTTCTTTTTCGATGAAAGAGGCTACTGATTTATCTGATGCCATGCTGGCCACCTCAGCTGAGAAAGGCTTATGCTCTTGCTTCCCTTCTTCCCTGGTCTTAGCCTCAGACTTCGCCCTTTCCAGCACTGAGCTTCCCGTTTCTGATGTGAGAGATATTTCCAGTTTTGCATCCCTATGTTCACTTTCACTTACTAAGTCGTGTGACAGCTCTGACACAGCCCCTGATAATTCTAGTGCATCGGGTAGCATGCCTGTCTTTTCAGGCTCCACTGGAAGACTTGATGAAGGAACAGCTGGCTTTTCTGATGGTAAATCACTCTTATCTGATATCAACATTCCAGGTTCTTGCCTGCTCCTCTCACCTGTAGGAGTGACTGATTTCATAGATAATTCTTCTGTCTCTAAAGTTTCCAGTTCATGTGGAGGGTATTTTATCTCTTCCTTTTCTTGTGATGGAACTCCTTGATCTGATGCTGATATCACAGTCTTTGATGAAGGAAGTTTGGTATCTTTTCTCTCTATTTCAACAGCCATGTATGGTGGAACTGAACCTCCAATCATTGATGCTGGATCAGATGATTCAGAGGCTTGCTTTTTTGACAAAGTCGAACATTCAGGTGCAGTAACTGTCACAGGTGGGACACCTTGATCACTTCCTGCCTTTGATGACGCTGAATGCTCAGGCACAGGTGACCCAGGTTTTTCCTCTTCCTTTCCCACTTCTGACAAAACTGCATGTTCTGCTGAATATCTTGCATTTGGTGATGCATGGAAATTCACTTCTTCTTTATGTACTTTTGGCCAGATTGGAGACTTAGACGCAGTTGTTTCAATAGGTGAGAGGCCAGGTTCACCTACTTTCTTTTCTTTCTCATTTAGAACCAAATGTTCTGTTAGTGGAGAGCTGTGATCCACTTCTTCCTTGCTTGCTTTTGATAAAACTGAATCAAATACAGATGTTGTAGGAAGTGGTGAATCTGATTGGATTTCTTCCTTTACTACTTTGGGCAAAAGTGAAGGTTTGAGTTCTGATACTGTGGCTTGTGGAGAATCAGGCCCAATTTCTTTTTTATCTTCTTCTGACAAAGATGAGAATTTCAGTTCAGGGGGAGGTGGAGTTTCCTCTTTCTTTGATTCTGATAAAACCAGGTGCTGAGATTCAGGCACAACTGCTTGTTCTTCGTCTTCCCTAATTTTTTCCTTTGTCTCTGTTCGTGAAACTACAAGTCCAGCTAAAGATTTTGCCTTTTGCATGTCTTTCAGGTTTTCCTTATTCTTCAGTGAAGTTTCCTGCTGAGGCACAGGTGGCTCACATACCACTTTCTTCCCTGCCTCCCCAGGTGCAACTGAGGGTTCCATCACATATTCTGGGGCCTTTGGAGAATGGGGCTCCATTTCTTTATGCTGCAATGAAGCTGGGTATTCAGGTGGAGTGACCTGGGAGTTGGACGTGATTTCTTCCTTGCTTACTTTTGAAAAAGACAAATGGTCAGAGGCCCCTTTTTGAGCATGTGCAAGTTCCAGTCCTAGCTCTTTCTTCACTTCTTGAGTTGATTCTGCTGGGATTGACTCTTGAGGCCTAGTTACAGAAGTTTCTGGTAAAACAGGCTTGATTTTTTCTTTCTCAGATGAGCCTGCCTTCATGAAGGCAGGTACTGATGGATCAGGCTTGGTTTCTTCCTTCTCTCTTTCATCAGTTGAAGATGGTGAAATTGAGTGTTCAGACTCAAGTACCTGAGAGAGACCTTCAATATTTCGCTTCTGTGACAAAATAAGGTATTCAGACACAGATAGGGAAGTTGTTTGGGAGCTGGGCTTGACTTCTCCCTTCTCTACTTCAGCGGTTGAAGGTGGCAGATTCAGTTGTTCAGACCCTGGCACTGAAGAAGAATGTTGAGCTTTTTGCCTCTGAGATAAAATGGTATGTTGAGGTTCAGGCATTGTAGGTGCTTGGGTCTCAGTTTCCTCCTTCTCTGCTTCAGAAAAAATGGAATATTCTGAAACAGATATTGCAGTTTGCAATGAACCAGATTCATCATCTTTCTTCTCTGGTTCAGGTGTTATATAAAGTGGGACTGAAAAGTCAGAGGCCGAGTCTGGTGAAAAAGGCTCGATCTCTTCATTCTCTTCTTCAGTCAAAATGGTGTGTTCAGAAGGGGATGTTGAGCATGGTGGGTAATCCCTTTCAAATTCTTCTTTTTCTGACTCTCGAACTTCATGAGGTGAGAATGAGTATTCAGATGCAAATGCTGAATCTGGAGAAAAGGGTCCAATATAATCTTTTTCTTCTTCAGATATAATCATATGTTCAGCTGCAGCTACTGAGTTTAGTGGAGTCTGCTGGCTGGTTTCTTCCTTCTGTTCCTGTGCTGCATATACAGGAACTGAATACTCAGAAGCAGATGTAGAATCTGGTGTGTAACATTCACTTTCGAGAGTCTCTTCTTCTGAGAAGATGGTGGCTTCAGATGTAGATGCTAAATGTGTAGGGGTTTCGCATCCAGTACTTTCCTCTTCAACTGTAGGATATGTAGAATACTCAGATACAGATGTGAACTCTGGGGAGTGAGGCATGGTCTCTTCTTCTGACAAAATTTCATATTCAGATGCTGAGATTACAGCTGGTGGGGAAACTGGCTTAGTTTCTTTTTCCTCTAGTTCATGGGTTGAATATGATAGACTTGAAAACTCAGATGCAAAGTCTGAATCTGGAGAAATAGGCCCAATTTCCTCCCTCTCTTTCTCTAATAAAGCTACATGTTCTGAAGTGGATGTGGCCAATAGTGGTAAGTCGGGTTCAGCTTCTTTTCTCTCCCTTTCATGAACCAAATGTGGTGGGATGGCATTTTCAGAGGGAGATAGGCTTTCTGGATAATCAATTTCAATGATCTCTTCTTCTGATACATATGAGGGTTCAAATTCTGGCCCTGAAGTTATTGGCAAGGAAACACCCTCTTCTTCCTCTTTCATTTTGCCCAAGGCTGGAGGTTCAGACAAAGAAACTGATGATTCAGGCTTGGTCTCTTCCATCTCCCCTTCACCAGTTGGAAAAACTGGCTCTTCTTTTTCTAGAGAAGACAGTCCCAGGTTGTTTACCTTTATACCAAAAGGACCTGGGGCAGATGCTTCAGTAACTGGTGAATCTGACTCAAAGGCTTCCTCTTCTGCCTTAGTTGAAGTGAGAGTCTCAGAAATATATGTAGCAGCAGTTGCCAATAAATCAGATTCTCTTTCTTCCTCTCTAACCTCATCCACAAAAGATGGTGGCATTGAAAGTGTGGGTGACGAAACTACAGCTTGTTGCATATCAGCTTTAAACTCTTCTTTCTCCATTTTGGGGGCCATCAATTCCGAGGTTGCAGCATCTGGAGAATCCATTTGTATTTCCTGCATTGAGGCTTCTTCAACTGGAAGTGTTGAAGCTGACAATGGAAGACTCTGAGGCACCATAGTTTCATTACTAGAATATGAGGAAACAGTATGTTTGAGCACACATGCTGCAGCTGCATTTAGGGGTGAATATGAATCAGCTTCCTTTGGCTTTTCTATATCCTTAAGAAAAGATGGCACTGGCCTGGACTCTTTAGACATTGCTTCTCTCCAGGGTGGAGAAAGCTGCTTTTCTTTATTACTCTCTATATTTTGGGTCATTGGTTTGCTTGCTTTGGAAGCTATGCTGGGGTCCTGATTTGTCACATCTGGTTCTAAAGTAATAGATGCATCTTTCCCCTTTCTGTAATTGATTTCCTTAATTACATAACCCTTTGGCAATGTTCCATAAAATTGTAGGGGAATTATTTCTTCTTTCACTGAATTGAACATCTTAATTTTATACTGTACTGTTCCTATGTAAACTGGTCTTAATACTAATGGCTTGTGTTCTTTGTATATTGCCCCTGTGATGGGAGGGGTGTTTGAGATGGTCTTCTTTTTCCTATTTTTATCATAAGCACCAATAGATGACTTTTCTTGTTTTGACTTTCCATCTGAAATTGAAGCTTTGTCTTTTGCATTTGCTGGGACATCTTCTTGCCCTTCCAAGGAGTGTCTCTTTTTGCCTCCTTTCCGACGCAAAGCTGGGGAGCCATGTTTTGATGATGACTTACGGGTTCTTTTCCGAACTTTTTTACCTTCATCCAAGATAAAAGAAATGTTCCCTGGAGGAGAACTTACTGTTGACCCTTCCATACTATACATATCAGAAGTTAAACTACTTTCTGAGGCCCAGGGAGTGGAGGACCTACTTGAGCTGGTCTCCCAGGTTATTCCACTATCTTCACGTTGAACTGTTACCATGGAAAAGGAGGGGTCAGATATAATACACTGCTGCTTGGTCTTGTCCTCTTCATTCTGGTCTGTTAACCTAGAATGATAATAAGAGTAATAAAATGATCATGCCACATTTTAACTGTTCATCAACTATTATGAAATTAAAATATAAAATTTGATATACCTAAAGATAAGTGATAAAACACCAACATGATACACATGTTTTACTCCTAAGATGACCAAAAATGGCCAAGCATGTAAAATATTGGAATGAACTGAAGTCAAAATTTGGGCCCATATCTTTTGAAGATACTAAGGCTTATAAAAATTCTGAGTAGAACTAAATCAATATGCCTCTCACTCAACATATTTGAAATCAAATTCATCTTCTCCACCAATTCAGTCCCCCTGTCCTTACCACCATTTTCTTTCAAATTCCTCTCCCAGTCATCCCGGTTCAGAATTTGAGTCATCTCCCTTGCTTCCTACCTCCTATTTTACTTCATGATATGTCATATATCTTGTTCTCTCAGAAACCTCATAATTTTTCAATCCAATAGCATTTATCCAGTCCCTGTCCCCTTTGATCTACACTACTTCCCACCCCTACTTCATGTATACTTTCTTTCTCTTTCTTCAGCTTCCTTGTCACTACTGTCTCCCACTTATCTCTTCCTGTCTGTTTTAGAAAATCCAGTCTCCTTTGCTAGTTTAATATCCATATCTTACCCCTTTATTATGAGTGTACCTAATAGCTCTGTCCCAGGGCCTCTTCTCTTCTGATTCTATATCTTTCCTTTGATGATGGATTTCATCTGCCCCCATGGATTCAATCTTTACCTCTATGCAAATGAGATCCAAGTCTCTTTATAATCTCAATCTAATTCCTAACTCTCTCTTGAACTCTAGTCCCATATCTCCATCTACCTACTGAACACCTCTTCCTGGAGGTCCATTCACAATCCCAATTCAACTTGCCTAACCTGGAACTCATCAGACTTTTCTTTTGTTCTGGACCTATCATTTAATTAGCATGGTGAACTCCTTCCACTGGTAGATAAGCAACTTATCTGTAATCATGCTCTTGAACAATTACTTGCCAAGGGAACTGGAGGTTTCAGCCCCTTGCTCATGGTAACATAGCTAATTTATGTCAGAATCAGGAGTTGAATGCAGGTCTTCCTGACTCCAAGGCCAGCCTTTCAAACTCATCCTTCCTCTCAAATCTGCCGCTGTAATCAACTTTACTATCCCTTTTGATGGCATCACTGCCTTCCCAGTCACCCAGTTCTGAAACGTTAGGATCATCTTTATTTTTTCCCTCTCTCTCATGGTACCTTTCCTATATACAATCTCTTGCCACATTCTACTTGATGTTATGTCCAAGACAGCCATGCCATTCTCAGTATTGGGTTCCTTCTTTCCACTCACACTGTCACTGCTCTGCATCAGGCCCTTATCTCCACTTACTAGGATTATTGTGATAGTCTACAAAATAGGCGTCAGGCTCCTCCCTCACCAATCCAGCCCGTACATAACTGTAAAAATAGCATTTCTAAGGCACAGGTCTACTCGTGTCATTTCTCTGCTCAGAAACCTTTGATGACTTCTGTAGATTGCTTCTAGATTAAAATATAAACTCATCACATTTATGGCATTTTACAATCTGGCTCTGACCTACATGTTCAGACTTTTTCCATATTATTCTCCTTCACATACTAGACATTCCAGTCAAATGTTCTGTTTCCTCAAACCAACCATGTCATTTCCTACTTCCATTCATTTGTAGCAACCTCACACCTGGAATTCTTCTTATTCTTCACTTTTCACAATCATGCTTTAAGATTTATCTGTAATGCAGTCCTTTCTGATTCACTCAATTGGAAGTTTCCCTCCCTCCTCAAATATTACTGTAGTGCCTTGTCTAGATAGCATTTCTAGAATCCATCACTCCCTATTTTTTATTATACTCTTATGTGAACGTGTTGTATCCTTCTTCCCTCAGTAGAAGGCAAAATACTTGAGGGCAGAACTATTTCCTTTTGTCTTTGCATCTCTAGCACTTAGGACAGTGCCCATCATGAGCCAGCTGAAGAAAAAGGAAATTAGACGTTCACATTGATTCACTACTAAAGGAGCCAGGAGTTAGTTCAGCCATTCTGGAAGGCTATTTGCAAATATGCAGTAAAAAGTTAATACATTGTTTATGTTTTTTGACCCAGAGATTCCACATCTGTCACATAGTAATAGTAGAGTTATTGATAATGATCATTCATTATTTCAGGCTAGAGTCTGGATTTGTGATTTCATTAGTCTAGAGCAAAGGTTCCCAAGTTTTCTTAGCTCATAGCATCCTTAATGTCTCAATAAATTTTCCATAGTACTTCTAGACCAAAAGAAATACCTAGCAGTTTTGAAAAACTCCTACCAAAGTAGATCAACACCTTCTCCGAAATTTATAATCTTAGACTAATATAGAAATGTTTTACATGATTGCATATGTACAAGCTATATCAAATTGTTTACCATCTCAGGGAGGAAGAAGAGGAAAAAAAGGAAGGGAGAAGAAATTGGAACTCAAAATCTTATCTAAAAATGAATGTTGAAATTTATAATCTTAGAGAATTACCTAAAACAGAAGTGTCAAACCAGGGCCTTCAAGCAGCCAGATTAATATATAATTGGGAAATGTTTAACAAAATAAATAAAAATACAGTACACCATAGATAATATCAATTTGTGGTTTTCCAAGTCCATATGCAGCCCACAGGGATCTGTTTCTATTTGAGTTTGACAACACTAGTCTAAAGCACTGACCGGATCGGTGACTTGCCTAGGGTCACAAGCCAGTATGTGTCAGGAGCAGGACCTGGCCAGCATTCAGTCTACTACACATGCTGTCTCTCTGGTTCACAATTACAAACTGAAAATGAAATTTGTCTTCAGTGATTAGGGAATGGATAAAGACACGGTAGTCTTGATTGTAATAGAATATTTCTGTGCTGTAAAGAAAGAGGAATATGAAACATTCAAAGAACGTGGGAAGACTTGTATGAAGTAAAGGCAGAGTAAATAGAGCAGAGCCAAAGGAATAATGGGCATGGTAACTACAACAGTATAAATTAATGTCAACATGGAGAGGAAATAAAACTCTGATCAAACACAACAGTGCTAGTGCCATGCTGTTAGAGTTAAAAGTTCACATCTCTTCTGCCCGGTAACAATCAATGAATTTTTTCAAAGAATGTACTTTGTGCAGGGATTTGTTCCAGTGTTTATTGGCATTGACTGTTGTGTTAAAACAAAATATGTCAATACTTTAAAGAAAAAAAGAGAAAATTTAACAGGAGGAAGCAAACAAGAAGTCAGTATACTATGGCTACCTCTGAGTTTCAGTATTAGCTCAAAGAACCATTACAAAGGGTGAAAATGTTCCCATTTTCACTAGTTATTATACCTCACTTCTTCCCCTCACCCCATGCTGTGTTGTGTTCCCATAGTATTTTATAATAAGATACTTTTAAACCCAGAATAGTGTCTAAAGTGCTGTTATTAGGGACCGAGAAAACCTCTGAGATGGAGGAAACCCTACAGTTTTCTCAGGAGACCAAAGTTTCAGAGAACAGAGCTGCCCAATCTTGGTATGACTCACCTCCTCCCAGTGCTGGTCCTCGTGCCACTGCCCAGGCTACCCTGCTGGTCCTGAACCAATCTTTCTGAACCCATTGTTTTCCTTTCCACATCACCTCCAATTGAGATGACCAGTTTGTCTCACATTTCTAGTGTGTACTATTTGTGACCTTGCAGGTAAAAAAAGTTCACTTTTCCATGAGCCCTAAATCCACCTCCCTCACCCACAGCCTGAAAGCCTGGACTCACATACTCAAGGATCTGCTTCCTCAGTCAAGGAACTGCACTGTATCTAGAAGAAAAAAAAACACCTCATACAGAAACACACTTCAAAAAAATCAATGTACTAAGTTCAAGCTCAAACTCTAGAGGGAATTACCTGCAAAACTTCCACCAGTGTAGTCTCCCAGAGGAGAAGAGCACAGGAAATTCTCTAGTTCCTCTTGTATTAGCTACCCAGAATCACAGAATCTCAGAGCTGGAGTGGACTTCAAAAGCCAACTAGCCAAGCGTTCTTCACCTTTTTTTTGTGACATGGACTGCTTTGGCAATCTGGTGAAGCTTATAGCCCCCTTCTCTTCTAGGAGAGTAACGTTTTTAAATGCATAAAATTAAATATATTGATCTGTATCATACAGCTTGCCTTCTCAAGGAGGAAAAAAGGGAGGGAGAGAGAATTTATAACTCTGAATTTTAAGTAAGAAACAAATGTTAAAAATTGTTTTGACATGTAATTGGAAAAAAATATTAAAAACAAAAAATAAAACATATTGCATTACATTGAAATATATCAACTATTATTATGAAAATATTAAAAACAAGTTCATGGACTAGTCCAGGGGTGGGGAACCTGTAGCCTTGAGGCCACATGTGGCCTTCTACATCCTTGGGTTTGGCCCTTTGACTAAGACCAAAGTACCCCTGGTAGTCTAACCCATCCCTGAACAAGAATCTACCCTACAATATCCCTTACAACTAGTCATGAAGCCTCCATTTGGAGATCTTCAATAAGGAAGAATCTGTGTCCTTCCGGGACATCCTAAGAGGGGCTACTTTTAGATATTTCTAAAATATCTAAAAAGTACTGTACCACTTATCTGCCCCTTCTCTACAACTTCTACCCATTGCACCTAATTCTGACCTCTAGGATTAAGCAGAAAAGTCTAATCTCTCTCTCTCTCTCTCTCTCTCTCTCTCTCTCTCTCTCTCTCTCTCTCCCTCTCTCTCTCTCTCTCTCTCTCTCCCTCCCTCTCCTCTCTCTCTCTCTCTCTCTCTCTCTCTCTCTCCCTCTCTTTCTCATGACAGCCCTTGAGATATTCAAAGACATGCTATCATTGCCTCCAGCACGAGTTTTTTTTCCTAAGGTCAACATCCTTAGTTCCTTCAACTGATCTTTATAAGTGGCATGATTATTAAACTCTGGAGAATCCTGGTTAGAAAGAACAGCAGTGTCCCAGAAGCTAT